TACCTAATGAAATATCCTTATGAGAAATAGTAATGAAAAAGCGAAGGAGCCTAATGAAATATCCTAATGAAAATTCTAAGAAATGGCAATGAAAAAGCAAAGGAGCCTAATGAAATATCCTAATGAAAAGTTTAAGAAATGGTAATGAAAGGGCCAAATACCTAATGAAATATCCTTATGAGAAATAGTAATGAAAAAGCGAAGGAGCTTAATGAAATATCCTAATGAAAATTCTAAGAAATGGTAATGAAAAAGCGAAGGAGCCTAATGAAATATCCTAATGAAAAGTTTAAGAAATGGTAATGAAAGGGCCAAATACCTAATGAAATATCCTTATGAGAAATAGTAATGAAAAAGCGAAGGAGCCTAATGAAATATCCTTATGAGAAATAGTAATGAAAAAGCGAAGGAGCCTAATGAAATATCCTAATGAAAATTCTAAGAAATGGCAATGAAAAAGCGAAGGAGCCTAATGAAATATCCTAATGAAAATTCTAAGAAATGGCAATGAAAAAGCGAAGGAGCCTAATGAAATATCCTAATGAAAAGTCTATGAAATGGCAATGAAAGGGCCAAAGAGCTTAATGAAATATCCTCATGATATCTCATTATTCTTGCCTATATCTTATGAAAGATTCCAGTGATAAATTGAATGAAATAGATGGGCAATCCTAATGAGATGCCTTTCATAAAACCTGTGGCAGTATACACATTGCCTCTTGGACAGTTGTCATAGATTAATCATAGATAGTGGTAGCCACTAGTGACCTTCCAGCTTTGCAACTCTCCCTCAAACGATGAAGGGGGCTCGCCTACGAGAAATTGACTTGCGGGTCGCACAAGCTAATGATGCACTTGCATCTATTCGGCTGGACATCGGGCACAAGTCTTTTATTTACCGAAAAAAGATCAACACCGAAGAAAGCAAAAAGGGAAAGACCCGGTCGTATGATCAAGTCAATGCCATTGACAGAAATCTGGCACATCACCTCCGAGTTTATGGTCAAGCCCGATGGGCCTTACAGCATCTAGCCGCATCGGAAGACATTTTATCCTGTTTCAAGGAAATCAAAAAGGCTGATACTCATCTCCTTCCGAATATATCTCACCCCAATAAACCTGGCTTTCGGAACAAAGATATCCCCTGGTTTTGGGGGTTCAATATACACGGTGATTCGGAGAATGATGTGCATATGGAAGAATGTAAGTCATTGCATTCATTAAATATTGTTGTTATTTATCTGCTATGAACTTCGGCAGTATATCGGGTAAACTATCTTCGGACCAAAGCGAGATATCACCGATGGCTGGAGGAATCGAAGTTGGTTCCGATGGAAATGAAGTGGACGATGCGGTATTTTACGAAGCGGGCAGTATATTGGGAAGGTCTGAGGGATCTAAGCGCCGATGGTAAGCGCTGCTATGCTTCCCGCCAAGCAGCCATGTGGCGAGGATTCCACGTGCAAGCCTTATTGGAATGTCAACTTTCCGGCGCTATTTAAAGTCATTGTTGTTATTTGTTTGTCGGCTTCTATAAGATCGATGAAGCACTGCATTCGATTCTCTTATCTCAACATGCTCTTTACCCCCCGCCAACTGAAGGCCATGGAACGAACCCGCCCCATGCAGATGTTAGTTTATATGATGAGCTCTCGTTGCCGAGCTGCGACCAAGGCCTGGAAGGAACGACCGAATATGTCTGACAATGAAAAGGAGATATGGCTCTCCCTGTTCAGGGGGGAGTTGGTAAGTCCGAGAGATCCTTGCACCGCTCAAGGTTAAATCAATAACAGGATTTCATTTGGAAGGCTCTTGGCTCGCATGCCATCGAGGAGTTCACGTATGACATCCCGATGTTCCTTCAGGCTTGTGTGAAGGAGTATGGCCCGCCTGATATTGACTGGGCAGTTGTTCAAACTGCGCCGGACTGTTTAGTCCCGGTCTACCTTGACAATTGGTGGGTTGAAAAGGATATTCAAGATCGGGTTGGAGGGGCATGTGATTGGAATGACTTGGAAACATTCGGCGTGGCCTTGCATGCGGATATGGTAAGTAAGCGGCTCATCCCCGATAGATGTTTATCACGTTGGTTGCAGCTCATCAAAAACTACCACACGGGCAGCGAGCTGCCCCTTCCATCGGCGACACTGGAGATTGAGCGTATGAAGAACCTTCGGGCTAGCATTGCCCGAGGGGGAAAGACTTTGGAAGCTGAATTGGACCGTGTCTACGACAGGCTCCACGACCTCAAGAATCGGCTTGAGAGTTCAACAAAGTCAATCCAGGTGATGGAGCATGAGTGGAGGGATGGCTGGTGTATCGCATATGCCGACAGGCTGTTAGCGGAGGATGCAGTTGACGATGATTCCGATGAGGGGCATACCGACGCAAAGTCCCTGTCGGTGGCCCCCCCCATGTCAGCCAAAACTCAGACCCCAAGAATTCCCGTGGCAGCAACATCCCGGCAAACCCACGCGTTGACATTACTTCGACAACATCTCGGCCTAAGAAACACGCTCCCCCAACAATTCCGCCGGCATCCACTGCCGATCGTACCTCACGCCCTATCGTGCAAATTCTCCAGCGAGCTGAAGGCTTTGACTTCAAACCTCTTCGTCATATCAAACTTTCTTCTTTGAAGCCAACGCAACTTCAGCCCCAAGGCCGACGAGAGTTGGACGGCCATCACCTGTCATCGTCGGGAGCGCCGGGAGAGTTTGAACGTATTTTGTCAGAATTTTAAATCATGCAATTTGTATCTAGCATTCAAGTGGTAGAAGGAAGCCACTACCTTGAATACGTAACATTGCCTTGACTCTATCCGGCTCGTCCAGAGACAACCATTTCTTAAACACCTCTTCAGACATCATGACCACGTGTGGAACACCCCCCAAACGTTCAGAGACCCTTTCTCTCATAAAGAAAGCAAGACAGTATCGGTCTGTGTCCGTCCTGGATACTCCGTGCCTTACCGCCTTCCCAAGAATTGACAGAACTGTTCCGGAGCCATACCAAAATCTAATCCCGATGCCAGGTAATTCCACCCGAAGGTCAGGGTTGACATGGGAGGATAGATTGACCAGAAGGTCATACATCCAATCTGCATTCTGACCATCCCGGTGCAGAGGTGTTTCTCTTTCACTAATTACCGACAGACCTGTGAAGGCAGTTCCCCAAACCTTCATGATCCGTTGCAAACAATCCTTATCCAGCGTCACTGATGATTGAGGACGGAGACATCGAAGCAGTGCTCCTCGGCCCCCATAATGCTGCTCCGGGTGAATGACACTCATAATGCCACCGATAATCGCTTGGAATTCAATTACCTGCCGAAGGAACTGTTCGCCGGCTCCATTGTCTTCCTTCAAAGACGCCGATGCCTGTAACGGACTTCCATCATGCTGGGTGCTGTTCAGAACCAAATAACCTGAGATTGACTTTGGACACTTACCCCGTGCCCTGCTTGATACCACAACGGGACGAGATTGACAATGCCCGGAGGGTACTTGCAAAAGCATATATTCCGATAATATCTCGGATTGCTCCTCCAGGTGCCATTGCTTTTGTCAGGTACCTGCAGCAACGGGTGAAGTATTTTCGCAGCGGCTCGGACCTGAGCCTGAATTACAATTAGTCAATTGGCAATGACAAGCTAATTGATTTTAATTACCTGTAATTCTTCCGACATAATCCCCGGAAGATACCATGCAAGGATATGCCCCATTCGGTCATTGACTCTTGTAGGGTTTCCCTCGACGACATCAATATGCTCCGGAAATGCGGGAGGGAACTTGGAAGCAATGGCTGTCTCCACAAGAATGCAAGTGCCTGGTATAGAAGAGTGAGTCTTTTTTTGCCCTCGACTGAGTCCATGGTAACACGTACCCGTCGGCTGCTTTCCAATGGCGCCGATATAATCGTCAATGTCCCAGTTGACCACGATTGGCGGGTTTGTCCAGGCTTCGGCGATTACGGCAATAGCTCGTTCACAGTGGGTAACGAGTCCCTGAGACAGTGACTCGGCGGGATAATCATTCGGAAAGTCAAACAATTTGTGCCGAAGACGACCGGCAAGGTAGGTGGAGATGTCGTCGGTGACTGCCTCCAATGCCGTCAACTGAGCCTCCATGTCGTCAAGAGTGGCGAGCTTTTAATGCAAAGGAATTGTCTTTTATACAGCATGCCTCATGCTATCCATGCATCCAGGGTGGCTGTCACATGTCCGGCTATTACCTATTACCCGAAACGAATTCAACCGATTAATGGGATTTCGGGCCGATATGGAAATATTAATTTATGGATTAGATGCTACCAACAGTATTTGCAACATGTACCCCATTTTGTGCCGGAGGCGATGTCATCGGACCAAATTACGTCATACCGCTCGTTTCGGCTGGACAGGGATTGCCAGGGTTAGGGTTATGGTTCTGCCGGATTCGGCATTTGTTACACCGAGCATTGGGCCCAACAATGCAATATAGCCTAATTAAATATTGGGCCCAACCTTGGCCGTTGGGAGTTTATCATGGGTCTCAGTTGGGCCCAATGCCATTGGGCCCAACAACGCAGTATAGCCTAATTAATAGCTTTGGAATATTGGGCCCAACCTTGGCTGTTGGGAGTTTATCATGGGTCTCAATTGGGCCCAATGGGCCCAATTCCTTTTGTGTATCCCTCATTGGGCCCAATTATGCTTCTCATAGTTTTGTTACCTTGGCCCCAACAATGCTGGCTTAACGTCTCACAGACATTGGGCCAAACTATGCCCAAATGGTGCCAACTATGATTGGGCCCATTGGGGTAGCCCTATGGTACATTGGACAATTGACCATGTGAACTACTATGGTCCCATTGGGTATCTACTGAATGCCCTGGAGCATGTATTTCATGTTGAGGTGACATGGTCCAAGGACCAGAACAGAGACCCTGATCAAAGAACGCAGCACCCTCGATGTAATTTCCGATAAGCGTAAAATGGTGGTGGGTTTGTGACGCTGCAGGGTGTGCACAACACGTTGGTAAAGGGAAGATTCCAGCATTTTAGCAACGTTTTAGATTAGATTTGGTCGTGGGAAACATACAATGCCTGCCAGTGCTTAGCGCTTATTATTCACCACAAGTCACGATGCATGCCCAGCTTTAGCGAAAGCACTGTCATTTTAGTGACTGGTTCCTATGCTCATGAAATACGCTTCCGGGAGGCCTGGAGTTGGATCTGATCGTGAACCATTGAGCGCACAAGCCAAGCAGGCGTGAGGTTTCAACTTTGTCGTGAAGTGATTTGCCGCATTCTCACATCTGGTAGTATTGCATGCAATGCAAGTGAATCGCCTCGCAATATCACCGGAGTGAGTTGATTAGCTTACCTGCACGAGAATCAGGGTAAAACTATTCAGAAACCCCCCTTTCTGGTAGAAACCCGGGTTTTCCGAGGGTGGTTTGAGAAACCCCTGGCATATGGTCAAATTGAGTTCTCGGTGACCAGTGATGGGGTCGTCGGCTGCGGCCAAAAATCTCATCCAACTTGATCGTCCCGAGTTACTCGCATGTTGTCTAACCTCGTTCCGCTTTCAACAATACCTCGGCTTTATGCACCTTCCTAGTTGTAATCCAAGCAGTGGTTGGATGATGCAGAGGAACGCTGTCTCAAATAAGGACTGGTCGAGGCTTGGGACTGCCAAATATGTCGTTCGACAAGACTTTGAGCTTTGAGTCTGACGCGTTTGCGCGATTCCCCCTTACTCCAAATCCACCAACTCAAGCCATGGACGTCTTGTTGCGTGGTGCTGGCTTTTCAAAATTTCAACACTCGAACTTCCCAAAGTCACATCGTCCTTGTGGATATGGACTGGGGAGATGAATGACATGGCACTCCCCAAGGCAGTCAATCTATTCGTTACTGCGAGTTGGTTTGATACCCATATGGGTATGACAGGGAACAATGGCCCAATCGGTGTTCACAAGGTTCGCCTTCCCTTTCTCACTTTTTGTCCCAGTCCTCAAATCACACCAGCAAGGTGTCTGGCGAACTGGCACTCCACAATGTCACCTTTACGTACCCATCACGTCCTACTATCCCTGGCCTCTCCAACGTCTCATCTTCCTCCCTGCAAACGAAATCACGTTCCGTTATCGGCTCGTCCGCTTCCGTCAAATCCACCGTCGCTCAGCTCATTAAGTGGGTTACATCACCATCGACGAGCACGACGTCCAGTTCCTCGATGACAAGCCCACGTTACAGGGGTGCTCGGTTCTGATACTTGGTATGGCTTTCCTTTTTTGTCGACTCTCTCTTTCTTTCTAACTCATTCCCTTTAAGACGAGGCAACTTCCGCGCTGGACGCTACCTCGTGCACTCCCGTATTTGAAGCCATCAAGTGGTGGCGTTAGGACAAGACCACCATTATTATCACACACGAATTATCCCAAATTATCCCCAACTTCGTGTACGTCCTCGGGGCGGGACAAGTGATTGAGCAGGGATACGACTTGGAGGTTGTTAATCGTAAAGAAGGGGGCATACTTCGGAGGTCTACGATGTAGGGTGGTAAGCTGTTCACAACGGAATGAGACGTTCCGTGAATACTTAATGTGATTGTGCATCATTAGCTCGATGTCGCCAACACCACTGGCAGACGTTTGAAAAGACTCCATCGTTAAGGGAATATGGGTAGATAGTCAAGCAGGCGGTGTAGAGAGGGACCGGAAAGGTGTGGAAGTGAATAGTATGTCTATCCTCCTTACTTTTGTCCTGAACTTCATGTATGTTTCCCTAGCGCTCTCCCTTTATCCGCCCTTACTCTGACCCAAGGCCCCTTTCCCCATAGACGTTCACACGTTTCTCGACAACGTCCACGTCACAGTGTTCCTCGACAACGTCCACGCGTTCCTCAACAACCTCAATGCCCCACCTGGGGCCTGTTGAATATCGAAAGCAATACTACCAACACTTACATCCCTCGGCATCCCCACATAATGACGTCCCAAATGCATTCAACGGACGTCGGTACATCACGTCGACTCTTTGCAAGGGGTATTGAAGGCGATAACGTGGTGAAGCGGCTGAAGATCTCCAAGGTAAGTGCGTGACTACTTGCATAACGACAAAAGCTAACGACTTACCTTGAAAATTAATAGTAAACCGATGATGGACTCAAGTTGTAGGCGGCTAGGGCGTAGTTGGTGACTTGACAGAAGCTGGGAATATCGCTGGATGCAACTAAAGTTCACTTACCGCGGCCTATTCTACATAGCCTTCGACGTCGACAACGAATATTTGCCGTGCGAATGGGGATGGATATCGTTGGTTGCAGAGAGTACTCCCCCCTTCCCTTCCTCTCGTCTTCCATTCCCCTCCTTCAACGGATGGAACCTCCAGTTTCTTCCCTTCCTCCCACTCTCCCACTCACTCAACACAAATAGATTCAGTGGATGGGACGTTACGCTCCTCGACTACCTCGATACAATGTGCATAAAAGGGCTACACGACGATTTCGGCGACGCCCTCGGGTTTGTGGGGAATCTTACTGTTCTTACGCTGTCCGCATGTCCTTTCCACTTTCTCTCTTGACCTCTCATTCCTTTTCACTTCTCCCCTTTCCCATCTTCCTTCGCTTCCTCTCACTTCTTATATTTCCCTGACCTCAGCTCACCCACTCCCGTCCCCAGTCAAGCTTCTGCAACTTCCTCGAAACCGTCATCCGCTACCTTGGCGGCCTCCTCTCAGCACACACACCTCTTCCTCCCCGATCCTCCGCTCAAAAGCTGATGATCTTGCTTGTGTTAGATACCTCTTTTGGGCTTGCCTTCGTTTGCTGATACGTGCGTGGGCTTGTTTTCACATATATCAGTCACTGTGTCACGTACCAAACGTAGTAGCCGGACATGACAATGACTCGTAATGAACGGGCCAGCCGGTCCCGGCCGGACTTTCCAAAACATCCCTTTACCAACGGACCAGCCGGATGCATACAAATGGCTTGCGGGCACGGCGTCTCTTGCCGCGGCAGCTACCTACGGCAGCCTTCTGGGTGTCCCGTCGGCATCACACCATAGTTCCCCAATCTTTACTAGAACAACTGTAATACTGTTACCTGCTTTGATGTTGTACTGTTTGCTTCTATCAGTAGTAGCTAATTGTAAACCTCCACCCTAAGCTACTTGCTCTACCACACAGCTGCTGGTCAGCAAAGCATGCTGTATATACCCCAACCTGCTCCAATGGTAAATTACCTGTGTCCATAATATTAATAAATGACATCTATTGAAATTGAATATGTCAACTCTGGTTAAGCATTTGATTGACTCCAATGGGGCGGTTATTTCAACTCCCATGGGGCATTTGATTCACTCTGGCAGAGAATTTTTAGCTGAGTATGTCAACCACCATGGGCATTTAAATTTGACTATTTTGACTCCATGAAGAATTTGATTGACTTGAGGGGTTATTATGTTTAATTGTAAATGCATTGCCAGAGTTGACATACTCAATTTCAAATGCCCTGGAGGAGTGAACCCAATGCCCCATGGGAGTCAACATATTTGATTTAAAATACCCTGTCAGAGTAAATAAAATGCCCTGGAGGAGTAAACTACATGCGCCGCGGGGGTCAACATATTTGACTCTAAATTTCATGACAGAGTGAATAAAATGCCCTGTCGGAGTGCCCTGTGAGAGAACATATTTAATTTTATATGCCCTGACAGCATGAATAAAATGCCCTGTCAGAGTGAATTAAATGGCCGCAGGGTCAACATATTTGATTTTAAATTCGCCGACGGGGTCAATAAAATGCCCCGTCGGAGTGAATAAACTGCCCCGCGGGAGTTAACATATTTAATTTTAAAAGCCCCGACGGCGTAAATAAAATGCTCCGTCGGGGTGAATTAAATCGCCGCGGGGTCAAAATATTTGATTTTAAATTCGCCGACGGGGTCAATAAAATGCTCCGTCGGAGTGAATAAACTGCCCTGCAGAAGTTAACATATTTAATTTTAAATGCCTCAATGGAGTGAATTAAATACCCCATGAAAGTCAATCAACTGTCTCCCACCCAATTCAAATTTTATATTCCCCATCGGAGTGTATTGAATGCTTTGCAGGAGTCAACATCTTTAATTTTACATGCCCCGCCGGAGTTGTGGGGGAAAAAAATGAGCTGTACTGTTATAGCTTCTCAATACATCTTTCCAGCATACTACAACTGTTGTAAAATAGGTTCAAGTTTACTTTGGAAAAGAATTTTGGCGCATGGTGGAGAAATGAGGTTGAATGCATGAAATATCTCACAACATGATATTGTTGACTTTTCTGTATACTTTGCTACCAAATCTCAACATCTGAGCCTTTCTTATACATGGTTAACATATGGCAGAATATATATCCCCTGCTCCAAAGCAGTTTTCTGATGGTTTGGGGGAGCTGGAGCTTGAAAGGGTGAAAATATGACTCTAAACATGAAACCACATTCTTTCTTATTTCCTTTCACTATCTAAATCTTGTTGAAATGCTCCCATACTTTCCCCAAATATAGCCTACATACTTTAGAATCAATTCAGATAGGTGGGGGAAGCAGTTGTGAGGGAAGAAAAAAAAATATAACTTGATGTATGCAAAATGGCATGTTGTGCAACTGGTTTGTATAAAGATTCATGCACCAAATAGCTCTTTCCGAGGTCTGTTCACAAAAACTTCTTCAATCACTGAGAAAACTATTCCAAATGATTCTATTCCTTTCTGGGATCCCCCCAATGTCTTTGTTTTGTTGGCGCGTTGCATCGCCAATGAGCGCGGCGCAGTGCGTAGTTTCAGATGGTGTGTGAATAATGCGCTCCTTCCATATTAGGTTGCCGCTGGCCCATATTTGGTAAGGCGGGCTGCCAGAGTTGTTCTACTTCTAAAAACTAAATGGTGCACACCTCAACTATCTGACCTCCAATTCAGTGGATCTTTCTTTTGTATTATGAGGATTTGTCATGGCTACTAGCAGGACCTTTCATCAATATTGTGCGTTGATTTCTTGACAATATATTTCTTGTTTCTGCAAATCACATATTCCAAGCCATTGCATGTTTCAGTTCACATGGATGGATGATCTGGGCACCAGCTTAAAAATGCTGTAGTGGATTGACTCCTCTATCTTGAATAAATGCTTCGCCAGAGCTGACATTGAATTTTGAATGCCCTGTCGGAGTCAATCAAATGCCCCGCGGGAGTCAACATTTTGAATTCTCAATTCCCTGTCAGTGTCAATCAAATGCTCTGCCACAGTCAATAAAGTGCTCTGCTAACTTGATGTATTCAAGATCATGCCACAGATGACCATATTGTGGAGGTCATGTTTTCAATTTCAAGGTCAAACACCCTGATGGGGCCATTGCCGACAGTGCCTTCAATCTCAACCTCAAACACCCCGACGGCAACATCCTCTGTGGTGCTTTCAATTTTAATGACAAACACCCCAACAGAGACATCCCCCGTGGCACCTTCAATTTCAATGTCAAACACCCCGACGGAGACATCCCCTGCGGCGCCTTCAATCTCAACCTCAAACACCCCGACGGCGACATCCTCCACAGTGCTTTCAATCTCAACCTCAAACACCCTGATGGTGACATCCCCCACAGCACCTTCAATTTCAATGTCAAACACCCCGACGGAGACATCCCCCATGGCACCTTCAATTTCAATGTCAAACACCCCGACGGTGACATCCCCCGCGGCGCCTTCAATCTCAACCTCAAACACCCCGACGGTGACATCCCCCGCGGCGCCTTCAATCTCAACCTCAAACACCCCGACGGCGACATCCTCCGCGGTGCTTTCAATCTCAACCTCAAACACCCCGACGGTGACATCCCCCGCGGCACCTTCAATTTCAATGTCAAACACCCCGACGGAAACATCCCCCGTGGCACCTTCAATCTGAATGTCAAACACCCTGACAGAGACATCCCCAACAGAACCATCAATTCCAGTTTGACACCCCAATGGAGCCACAAATGAGTAGACAAGGTGTGAGTAGCTAAATGAAAAGCTTTCATTTCTTAACTACAAGGTGAGTGTTTCCCTGTTGGGACAAAATTCAGTTTTTGGTTGATATGGAGACTATCTTGCAGGAGTTGGATGAGATAAAGATTAAGATACATTATGCTACAGATCTAGATGGATGTAAGTAAGGGGAGAGAGGCCCCAGTTAAATTTTTTTGTAGTTCCATCAGGATGGGCTGAGAGCCCGTCAGGACGTGGTCAGAGCCCGTCGGTTGAAAAAGTGGTTCCGCCGCGGGAGCGTAAACCCTGCCAGGGTCAGAAACCGGCCGCTTCGTTGCCAATGGAACAATGGCAATCAAACCGGCCGCCCCGGCTGACCCGTTCACTACGACTGATTGTCACGTCCGGCTGTTCCGTTGTTATTGGACCCATGTGACTGAACTAACTACTTGTTTTATCCTTTTTGTTTTTGTTTCATTTACTTTGTCCTCTGTTTCGCGTGATGGTCGAGGTATTCACCCATATATAGTGTCTGTGTCCGTTCTCATCGCGGATGAGACTAGGTTTACTCGACTTCTCCATTATCGTTCACCCACACTTTTGTTCCTTGTTCTCTATCCCCTTTCCTTGATTTCGAGTCGTTCAATCCACCCCAACATAGCGACGTGAGTTCCTTCCAGTCTTGCGTCGATCAATTCATCTTCTGCCCACCCCACTCTTTCATGTCCTTTGTCGTTTTGTGGAGGCGCTGATGATTTTTACCCACGTTGGTGTTGGGGTGGGTCGGGTCTTGCGTTGGGCAACGTAGCAGGACCTCGCGTTGGGTTATGTAGTCGGAACTCGCGTCTGGTTATGCAGTCGAACCTCGCATCGGGCTACAACCTGACCTATAATCAGTCCATACATCCTTTGGATGCAACTCTTGGGCTTCCTTGTGTTTCAGGCATTCTTTTGGTTCAATCCTGTTGGGTCCCCTGGATTTTGCTCGTGATCACGTAACCTTGTTATGATATACGGAAAGGCCTTACGCAAGGGGGTGGCGGAATGTGGAAAAGAGACCAACACTCGTTATTTTTTTTTCAGAGTCCTGCTTGACACCCCCCTACCCCTACCTTCCTAATCAAGCATGTTTTTCCCATGCTTATGTTTTCAGAAATTTTTTTCTACATAAAACGCGAAAACATTTGACAAATCTCACGGCGCACGCACCTGGCAGCCTGTTTTGCAACCTCGCGCTTTGCACATCACCACCCAACCACAGTTCTCTCTTCCTTTTCCCCTGCCGTGAGACTCGAGGGGTATTTTGTTGTATGGTTTTCTGGTTAAAAAAGCTGAGGACTTCTCTTTCTTTTGTGGGGGTCGCGTGTTGGCGGCCTTGTTCTCTCTGCATGTTTTCTAGTCTCGATGCATGTTCAAGTTACTCATCCCACCGGCACCAACATGCACATCTGTATTACACTCTGCACAATGAAGCTGTTGGCTGTAATTTGACTCTTATTTCAACCTCAATTAGCAATAGTACCCATGGTCTATGTTTTTGTTAAATTCATTACCGTGATTTCTTCACCACATGTTGGGGGGTTCAAAATTGCTTCTCGCTGTCTACTATGGCCAAGTAAGTATCTACAGCAGCTAGGACATCTACTAGAACGATCCAACGTCGCAACAGGCAGGTCACTGACCACTTCTGCCACCAAATTGATGGGTGTCACTTTTTTTTCGGCCTTCGGCTGAGCACCCCCCCCCCAACCCTTGGTTCGGGATCCACGTCCCGCTACCCCCTTGGCCTTACGGGTCGTTGAATGCGAAGACTCACTACCTGCTCTCGTGCCTTTGCTTGTTGGTTGCGTGATGCGCGGTTACCAAGTTGATTCTTGATCCACGCAAACATTTCATGTTCGTCTGAGGCATTTTGACTTCGGATTGAATTCGCTGGTTGTACCCATATCCATTTTGCTGACTTGAGTTTGTGGGTGATGTTTTTACTTTTCCCCACCTGTGTTACGTTGGTATTTGTTGGACCACCATCCAACATTCGATTCGTGATGCGCCCTTTTACCCCATCGCTGCTGATTCTCTTTTTCTTTCACCTTTCGAGTGGGTTTCGACCTGTTTTGGGAGTTGCTTATGGCTTTGCTTTTTACAGTCTTGCTGGTTGTTTTGACTTATTAATATGCAGAGGAGCCACACTGAGGTGGGGTGATCTCGGTCCATTCACCATGCTCGTTGAAGCGACGAGTTGCCAGTTAGAATACAAGTATCTTGCCAAACTGACGGGAGGGCGGAGTATTACGAAAAAGTGCGGTTCACATTCTCATTCCGCGTACCCTTAATTATGGACGCATGTACGTAGGTTGAGAGGATAATGGTTATAATTTATGCAGTCAATGCGACGGGTTGTTTGGTAGTAGGTGGTTCGATAATGGAACACCACTGGGTGGTACGCTTCCCTTATCCTTTCTAGCTTCATTAGGATCAAGCTGAACGCACGCTTGTTTTATCTCATGAACGACAGCCTTCAGGCGAGCCACTCCCTCCGCCTCCAGCACATTACAAGCTAACCCATCTGGAAGGAAGAGAATGTTGAGGAGTTTGCAAGGAGTTTGTTGTATGGGCCATAGTAATCATTCTCCCTGGGATTGGCAGGCCCCTTATCAAATACTGTCGAATTTACGTCACCCTGCGCTTGGTTTTTAATGTTTACCATGAAGGTTCAGAGTTACTGGTCCACACGGAGGACGTTCCTCTCAAGTGCCTTTCATCGCCGGTGCAAAGTTCTGGATGGCTTTATAACACTGAAATTACCCGGCCTTCTGGAAAACGCTCTGCAATATTAACTTTACAACTTCATACGAGTATGATCGAAACCACATCCTCCAGCTTCTCCATCAACGCAATCGCCAGACCTCCCTCTCGGGGGACGATGAGCCCTGCCAAGAACGCACCAAATAGCGTGCACATCAATAGTAACGTTCATGCAGTTAGGGCAGTCAAATGGGACCATCACTGATGGGCCAGCGGTGTGTGACAGGCGCCCATCAACAGCGGGCCAGCGGACTCGGCCGAGCTGTCAAGAATTCGGCCTTGGGAATGACTGGGCCGAGACTCTAAAATAGGCCATGCGACATGGGTGGGCCGCACGAACAGAGCCCCATAGAGGACGGATCGGCCCACTTTGCCTCTGGTGCCCATGGGTTGCGCCCAATTGCACAGATCCCATTGTTGCGCCCATCATTCTTTCAGGCAGTTAACCAGAGTGCTGCCTCATTAGTACCACTGTGGGGGACCACACAGGAGAAAGTTAAATAGATATATTATTAACCTGTTGTATGTGAAGTAAGTATTTAAATGTGTTGACAGCAGCCTCGTTGTTGCACCTACAGGCAACAACAGGTGAATTTTTCGCCATGGATGGGTGGCATGAAAAAAAGCCCCTCATACAATGGGTCAGCCCACTTTGGCAGAGGTTTATGGCACCCATGCACTGCGCCCATTGGTCTCATTGGCGAGTCCCAACCTGTGCAATTATTTTGCACTCCACGAGAGGCACAATTCTTTTGCGCTCCATGGGGGGCGCAATTATTTTGTGCTCTAGAGGTGCAATTATTTTGTGCTCCATGAGAGGTGCAATTATTTTGCGCTCCAGGGCACAATTACTTGCACTCTATGGGGGAGCAATTCTTTTGCGCTCTAGAGGTGCAATTATTTCAAGCTCCATGAGAGGCGCAATTCTTTTGCAGTCCAGGGCGCAATTATTTGTGCTCCAGGGTGCAATTACTTGCGCTCTATGGGGGCGCAATTATTTTGCGCTCTAGAGGTGCAATTATTTCAAGCTCCATGAGAGGCGCAATTCTTTTGTGCTCCACAGGGGGCGCAATTCTTTTGCACTCCAGGGCGCAATTATTTGTGCTCCACGGTGCAATTACTTGCGCTCTATGGGGGCGCAATTATTTTGCGCTCTAGAGGTGCAATTATTTCAAGCTCCATGAGAGGCGCAATTCTTTTGCGCTCCACAGGGGGCGCAATTCTTTTGCACTCCAGGGTGCAATTATTTGTGCTCCAGGGCGCAATTAGTTTGCGCTCTAGAGGTGCAATTATTTCAAGCTCCATGAGAGGTGCAATTCTTTTGTGCTCCATGGGGGGTGCAATTCTTTTGTACTCCAGGGCGCAATTATTTTTGCTCCAGGGCGCAATTACTTGCGCTCTATGGGGGCGCAATTATTTTGCACTCTAGAGGTGCAATTATTTCAAGCTCCATGAGAGGCGCAATTCTTTTGCGCTCCATGGGGGGCGCAATTCTTCTGCACTCCAGGGCGCAATTATTTGTGCTCCAGGGCGCAATTACTTGCGCTCTATGGGGGTGCAATTATTTTGCCCTCTAGAGGTGCAATTATTTCAAGCTCCATGAGAGGCACAATTCTTTTGTGCTCCAGGGCACAATTATTTGTGCTCCAGGGCACAATTACTTTTGCGCTCTAGAGGTGCAATTATTTCAAGCTCCATGAGAGACACAATTCTTTTGTGCTCCATGGGGGGTGCAATTCTTTTGCGCTCCAGGGTGCAATTATTTGTGCTCCAGAGCGCAATTATTCTGAGCTCTACAGGGGGTGCAATTATCTCAAGCTCCACAAGGGGTGAAATTATCTGTATTCCATGGGGGGGACAATTATTTTGAGTTCCATAAGGGATGCAATTCTTTTGCACTCCACAGGGGGCGCAATTCTTTTGCACTCCACAGGGGGCACAATTCTTTCAAGTGCCACTGTATGTACCTTGTGCTTTGATAGGGTTACAAATAGTCTGTGTCCAGCATTGTTTCAATGTCAGAGTGCGCCCAATGTGAAATGGGCACGAAATGTCATGTCAGAGTGCACCCAATGTGAATGCACATCAAATGTGTGCACTAAGTATGCAT